TTTGCTCGTGTTGTCGATCTTGTGTTGATGATACTTAATAATTGTAACACAAAAATACGTGTACTTTCAGCTTGGTCAAACGATCAGAAGCAACTGAACACAGGACACATACTTGACATGAGATAGAATTGCCTCATACACATAGGTTTGCTGATTATTGTACGCCTACTGCTACAAGGAAGATAGAGCCCATTGAAATTAATAGAAATGGGGACATTGAATGCACGAAATGGTGATAGAAAGTAAGTTGGGACTACTTATGTTTGTCCAAAGGTGTGAAGACCATGAGGTTATGTCATATCAACCAAGCTAGAAGTATTAGATTGCACAATCATGTATTTTCTTAGGTTTTCAAACATCAATGACATCCGACTGGCGGATTATGACGGGTGGTCTTGTTTGAATACCACGCGTACATGTTGACATTTCATCTCGGATAGATTTACGGATTTATTCCATCTCAGTTATACTTTGCCTTAGATCATATATATATTTAGTGGATTGCTTCAACTTGAACGTCGTATTATAGCCAAACAGTTGCAGGACAAGGGAAATTGGCCTTACTCTTCCGATGATATCAACCAACGAATCTCTTCATCATACACTTTCATACGAAACAAGTCTCCCCAACAATGCTATCTTAAGAGATTTATCGAAACCCGGATACTCTTCTTATCTACATGTATACTAAAGCTGTTTACTTTAGTCTTGCTATCTCGTTGATTTTGCCTTGATCCCTTTTTTACTTAATATAGTTGGCCTGGCTCGAGACATGCTCTTCTAATCCATCCTCAGCATTCCTTGCTACAACATCTAGAAAATACTCTGATCCTGATAACCATATGGATGACGAGCTGCAAGCCACTGCTGCTATAATGGCCCTCGATCTAAGCAGCCCATCTAAGCCGTATTTGTGTCATAATCCTTTTTCTGGAGGCTCATTTGATGGCTGGACCTCAATCGATATCGAACTGGCCTTCCGAATAGGTTTCTTTGGCCTTAGTCTTCCTCGTCCTCCAGCGTCGACACCCGCCCTCGAAGTCCGTCTCTTCGATCAAGAGACCGTTCTTCTTACAAGGTTATGTCGTCTGCCCATCGAGCTAATCTGTCCCCATGTTATTGTAAGTCTCCGACACGAAGCCGAGCGTCTAGCAAACTCCGACATCACTCATACTGGTAATTAATCTTTTTATCTATACTATTTACTTCTTTGGTATGTCAATATTTTTTGATTTGACTTATTGTTGATTAAATTTTTTTTAAAAGTTTGTCATTTTTGCTGGATGCTCCAGTAATGTCAATTGAATTGCGTTTAAATCAATATTTTTTATTTTCTATCATTCTACTTTGCATCAAGAATGCTAGGGTACTGGATATATCATGCGCTCACTTCCATGGGTAAATTAAAAAGATACCTCCTTCCATAAGAACTTGCATTTTTGCCTGAAACTGGTATTTTTAGGGTTATTCTCTATGGTGTAATCCTATAGGCCTCTTCCACATCTCCAAAAAACAAATTATTTTTGGATGTGATGGGATATTGGTTGGGTGTAACTCGCAGGTCATGATTATTAGTTTTTAACGTCGGGATGCTTTGGTATTTCCGTGAGTAATATTTGAATGCATGTTAAATACACCTATATATTTTTAGTCACTGCACTACTCTGGATTCATAATGTCTTTAAGAATTGTTGTCTTATGTATAACATCATTAGATGTTTCATGAATCTGAATAATTTTTACATGCAGATCACAGGATTTCGAGCATCGTCAGACCTTAGATTACTTCTATCTCTTTTCTCATCTTAAAAATAATGTTTTCATTCATTAAATTTTTCATAAGAAACGATAAATTATAAATAAGTGAGGCTTCTATTTAAGTTGCAGTCTCCCTTCAGTGCTCTCGCAACTTGTTTTTTATTTTCAAAGTGAACTTTGTCCTACATCTTATGCCATAGCAGTCATCCCAGCATACGGTGTGATTCGACGCTGAAATTTATCGGCTACGATAGTAGAGAATGCCACACAATGAACTTTCTTCGTGGTCACCCTGATAATACAACCAAGTTGTTTAAACGAGGCCTAATGCATGCACTAATGTTTAATAATGCATTTCTGGGCACTTCTATAGTTTTTGCACAGTCCGAAATTTATTCACATGGGAAACATGTTTTATGTAGTCAATATTTTTAAATTAATCAATAGATGAAATGAATGGAGATTTTGTTAACCGAATCTTTGTATTACCAGATAAATTTTCGCTCTTATCACCTTTATATAGAGACTTATCCCGCTTT